CCTGATGTCCAAATATTTATTACTTTTGTTCAGAACATCATTACATCTGATCCATCTCATCAAGGCTATATACATTCATGCATTAGAGGAACTTACAATAAAAGTTTATTATTTTTCAATATAGCAGGTCATTATAAATATTGTCCAAAGAAAAAAGATCATCATCAACATAACAACGTAGCTATCATCATAAATAGTAAAGCCTATACATACAGCATTCGATGTAAAGATCCTGAATGTAATAATACTATATTGTCCTGGAAAAAAATAAAATAAACTATCTTTTTGTTTTCATTTAAATAATATATGTTCTATTTATTGATATACAAATCTTTAATTCGCTAAAAGATAATACATTCATAAATTATTTCTTACAATGTTTAATCATAAAACACATTCATTGTATATACTTCCCTCGCTCCCTCTTTCATCATTTCTTTTTCCTTACTCCTCTATTTATATTTTTAATATATATTATTACATTTTTTTTTTCTAAAATTTAAAAGTTCAATTTATCAATGGTTTATGTATGAATTTTTCTAATTAACAATAATGAATCAACTTCATAAAAAGCGCGTTTATCTTTTGTTTCGTAAACATGATTATTGATCTTCATATCAATACATCTATAAATTAAAAAAAATTATTAAAAATATAAAATAAAAATCTCACATCTGCACAATTAACAATTATTTATCCAAATTGGTAAGTTATATGATTTATAGTTAAGATAAGCTAATGATCACAACATACCACTAAGAAAAATCAGTAATACATTACAATAGTATCATTCTATTTAGTAAACTTAGCAATATACTAAATCGCTTGATTTAATATATTTCATAGCAAATCATTAGAGAAATATTAGAAATGAAAATCCATTAGTGAAAAAACCTAAAAAAATATACGAACTATAGTTAGATTTTAATAGATTTTTACGAACATTTGACATGAAAAATAAACTTTTGACATAGAATAAGTTTTTTTCGAAAAGTTCATTACGAACTATAGTTAGATTTGAATAGATTTTTACGAACGTTTGACATGAAAAATAAACTTTTGACATAGAATAAGTTTTTTTCGAAAAGTTCATTACGAACTATAGTTATCTTTTAATCCAGTTTTACGAACGTCTGAGCTTAAAAATAAACCTATGACATAGAATAGTGTTTTTTTGGAAGAGTTCATTACGAACTATTGTTAGATTTGAATAGATTTTTACGAACGTTTGACATGAAAAATAAATTTTTGACATAAAATAAGTTTTTTTTCATAAACTTAATTACGAACTATAGTTAGATCTTAATAGATTTTTACGAACGTTTGACATGAAAAATAAACTTTTGACATAGAATAAGTTTTCTTTCGAAAAGTTCATTACGAACTGTAGTTATCTTTTAACCCACTTTTACAAACGTCTGAGATTAAAAATAAACCTTTGACATAAAATACTTTTTTTTCGAAAAGTTCATTACCAATTATACTTAGATTTTAATAGATTTTGACGAACGTTTGATATGAAAAACATATTTTTGACATAGAACAAGTTTTTTTTCGAAAAGTTCATTACGAACTATAGTTAGATTTTAGTAGATTTTTACGAACGTTTGACATGAAAAATAAACTTTTGACATAGAATAAGTTTTTTTCGAAAAGTTCATTACGAACTATAGTTATCTTTTAATCCAATTTTACAAACGTCTGAGCTTAAAAATAAACCTTTGGCATAGAACAGTTTTTTTGGAAGAGTTCATTACGAACTATTGTTAGATTTTAATAGATTTTTACGAACGTTTGACATGAAAAATAAACTTTTGACATAAAATGTTATTTTTCATAAACTTCATTACGAACTATAGCTAGATTTCAATGAGCTTTTACAAACGTTTGACAAGAAAAATAAAACTTTGACATACACTAGGTTTTTTTAAAGCTCATTACGAACTATAGTTAGATTTCAACGTACTTTTACGAACCTTTGAGATGAAAAATAAACTTTTAACATAGGAAACAAAATAAAATATTCCATTGTGATCATTAGACTTATCGAACTTAATCATATAACTTCTTATAAAAAAAAGATCTATTTGTAAACAAATGTTTACACGGCAGTAAATCTCACGGCAGTAAATCATGTAAACCATTTTTATTTTTCACACAGTCCAAATTTGATCGCTCAAAATTTTGTCCATTTGGAAAACAAAAAGTACAGATATAAAATAAACAGTCTTATGTAAACAGTAGAGCTTTTCAAGCTCTGTCTTCTGGTAGATTTTGTTTTTTTAATAAAATGTATTAAGTGAATGAAAGTTGAAACACAATGTGCTGCAGCCGTTATTTTTCTGGAAATAGAAGTCTGTTTCGTATTTCGCTGAAAGATGATATCTTAGTACAGTATTTATGAAATTTATTGGTATAAAAAAAAAATTCGATGCATCCATCTATCATTTAAAAAAAAATAAGTTGATGAAATTAAATCAAATAGTAAAGATAAACGAAAAACTTAGGTGATCATGACTTTTGGGACACCCTGTATTTATATTGACTATTTTAAAATATAAAAAAACGAATAATAGCCATCAATATTGATAGACTTATATGGATTCTTAATAAGAAAAAGGATAGCATCGTCAAAAGACAAAGGAAATCATCAATTCCTGTCGTGTCTGTCACTGTCTCCAACGAAGCAAGACATTGTAATATCTCGATCAGTGAGTTTCTGATTATTACATACTATTATATTATACAACGAACGAAAGGATAAGATATTTAAGTAATAATCAATGGACTTGATCCTTAGGCGTGACTGTTTGCTTGAACCTGTATAATCATGTGATCACATATATTCGTGTAACTTCAGGGCAACTATTCGCGTCAATGACTTCTTGGTTCAATGCCATCATCCAGTCAGATTTTCTTAATATTTACCTCTTATCCAATCAACTTTTTGAGATAATCGAAAAGTTCAGTCAATCAGATCTGTTTGCTATCTAGCTCTCATAAAATTAGTGTTTCGAAGCCGAAAGTTCAACTAATCAGATATTTTCAGGTTATGGGTGTGTTAACACAATGGATAGGTGCAGTGCTGGGTAGATTTGAGTGTAGCTGTATAGATGTGTGGATATGAGTGTTATTGCTTGGATAGATGAAGAGAAGAACCACAAAGGTATTCACATCCAAATCCACACTGACATCAATATCAGTAGGCATGTCAAGATGCATATTCACATCCAGATTCACAGCCATATCCACACCTACATTGACACCGACTTTCATGCATATATTTAAGATCATTATCGATTGAAGTTTATAGTAGTATATTATATAGAAAGAGCTGACTATTCAGTCCAGCGTCAAGCAAGTCGCAACGACGGGTGTTACTTGTTTTTACAGCTCTTCTTGTTTTCTTGTACTCATAAATATTTTCGAAGTAAATAGTGAGTATAAGTTTTCAGATGAAGTTTTATGACTTCCCTTCCCTCCATTAGAGATATTAGCAATCGGGTTAATCATTGATTATGTTTTCATAGCAACCGAAGACAATAGGCGTCGGAGTCATTTTCTAGAGTTCCTCAGCGTTGGAAAAAGGAGCTGAACAGCATTAAGGACAAGTTTTAGACTGTTCAAACGAATTCTAGAATATTTCAATGTCTTCTTCAAAATTTGAATAGCTAAAATACATTTGTAAATGTTTTCAATAGTGAGGTTTCTGATTTTTTCACAGATAAAAATTTATATTTAAGATGGTAAGGATGATAGGTAGTCATGCATTGATTTACTACTATCGTTATATGATCAACATAAAAAGCATGAACTGATCAAGTGATAACTTTGGGAAATAATCAATATCAATGTTTCTGATCTTATTCAGATATATAATAATGCATTGAAGTCTGCTGTAGATATAATGAATATGTACAACAGATTTATTTGTCGGTTAAATCGATAGTTAGAATAACATTGATGTTAAATTAAGAAATATGAAAAAGAAAAATAACGAGTAAATAGTAACAAAGTAAATAAAAAATAGAGTATGACTCAAGAAAAGAAAAATTTTCTGTTCGAAATACAGATTATTTCTCGGGCGATCGATGATCCTTGAAAAACAACAATAATCTGCGAGAGATTTTTCACTTTATGTATTTTGTATAGATATAATGAGGCTAGAGAATATATGTGAGTTCCATATTTCAGTGCGAAAGAAGCTGCACTAACAAGCTTTCTTTTATTGCTTGTACTCTTTTGTCTCTCTTTAAAAAGGAGCAAATATATGAATACCATAGAAGCATTATAAGCAGTAAAATAAAACGTAAATTCAATAGTTATCAAAACTAACGTATTTATTAGTACAAGATACTAGAATCATTATTCGATATTGAATATTTCTAAATAATAATTCTCATCTCAAAACTGCTGTTTACATTGATACATGTTGTAATTGGATATTTAAATTTGATTCAAATAAAATTATTGACTGCACGATCTAAAAGGAGTGTTGAAGTATATAGGGTAGAAATTTGGATCCTCATACAGATCGTGACCCGACATTTTAATTAATATCGAATTAAAAGCCCTTTAATAGCTAATTAATGTCTAATTAACAGCTAACTAATTGCTAAGTATTTGTTAATTAATTCCATCACAGACTGTGACAGGCGATCTAGGACTCCGCCACTTACGGTGAAGGATATAGATATACGATAAAATATATCACACATCCAAAAAGTCTTATTATAATAATATGAAGTACTTCTTGATTCCAGTTCTAGAGGAATAAGTGGAAGGATGGTTTAGAAATATGCTGCAAAATCGATAGATTAAGACAATCTTCCTATGATTACTAATAGTAGCTACATCGTATTTCACATTTTAATCCCGCGCTGATTGCGCTAACAGCTTTTGTTATTGAATTTTATTATAAAACCATCAAAATAAGTTAGACAAAAAATTTACAGAAAGTCCGTGAAAAGAAAAAATTGTCACCAGTAAATTTATGACTATCACAATTTTTTTTTCGTCTCAGCAATATATGTATTTAATGTGTAAATCCTATCAATATCGTCTCGTGAATAATCCTTCATAATTTTTAGTGCTAATTGAAATTGTTTCAAAGCAAGTTTAAATTGTTTTTGTTTATCATAAATACAACCAATATTTATATGATAATCAACTAAATCCAAGTGATCAGGTTGTAAACTTTTCTTCCCGATTTCTAATGCTTTTTTAAAATATCTAAGTGCTTTTCCATTATTGTTCATTTTTTCATGTACAATACCTATTGCTCTCAATGTCGATGCTATTGAAGGATGAACTGATGGTAATCGTTTCAGTTTACTCTCTAGAATTAGTTTAAGATTTTTCAAAGCATTTATATTATCACCATATTCTGTTTGAATTTTTGCTTTGAGACTCTTCACTGTAGCTATGAGTAATGTATCCTTTGATTGTAAAGCATTGAACAACTTCTCTTCAGCTTGTCTTTGTTGTTCGTCTGCATTTCGAATATCTCCTAATGCCAAATAAGCCAAACCAAGATTACAATGAGTAGCAATAACTTGAGGACTATCGCGACGACACAAACGAGAATAAATATCAAGAGCTTTTTCATAACATTCAACAGATTGTTCTAGTTGATTTGTATCTTTATAGATAAGACCAAGTAAATTGTAAGCATTTCCAATTGCTTTATCATTCGATGGAAGTTGTGTAAGCATATATTTCGCATAACGTTTAGCTTTGTTAAATTCATTCATTCGAAAAAGAAACCAACCGAATGACAATGGATCTGGTTCCGATCCAATTTCTTTCATCATGTGATCTAAAAGATTTTGACTAAATTTATTTTGTTCTTGACTTAGTTGTAAATGAACATGCCACATATTACTATGTTGTTCAACTGATTGAACTTTAAAAACAGCACTTATCGAAAAAAGTACTTCTTCTTCGTCATCTTGACAACAGAAATAGTTTTTAAGAATTGCAAATGGTGTCATTTCATTATTCATATTGCATATATCAATTATGAAAAGAACAGATTGTAATGGTGATGGTTCATTCAAATGATCACTTGTATCTGCAAAAATTTTCGCTAGTTTTTCATTCAATGTAGTACTTAAGAAACTGTTCATTGAAATAAGTTCATTTACATTACGTTTAAGTAGATCAAGTTCTATCATATTTAAACGTTGACCACGATAAACTCTTATATGATGATGATCAATAATAGAAGAATGATCATCTAAATATTGATAATAAAGTTGTTTGATTTGATTATGAAGATCATTGATAAAAAATCGAAATTTAAATATAACTTCAATATTTTGTGTTCGTAAAGCTTTGTTCAATAATCGATATACAAAACTATCATATGTATACCACCAAAATGCTTTTGTTGGAGAATAATTTTTTTCGAAATCATTTATTTTCTTTTGTTCATTTTCATCATTATGATAAATTGTTCGACATTCAGTAATCATTTCATCTTTTGAATTACCATATTTTGCCATTAATTGAAGAACCATCAATATTGATCGATACCACATAAATGTTGCACTTTCTTTAGTTAATTTTCGTAATGTATTTTCTCGTTCTGTAAGATGAAATATACTCATGGGTAAATCTTCATTTTTATTATCACATATACCAACATCATTACAAATTTTATGTAATAGTGCTTTTTTTTGTATGAATATACCAGCGATTTTTAAATTTGGTTTAACCCATGTTTCTGCTATCTTTCGATTACCACAATATATGTATATCGATTGTATATATGGTAATTCATATATAAGTGGTATAACCTTTTGACCAAATGCATTTGAAACAATAAGAAATACTCGTTTTGTTGGTGGTTGATCAGTTATATCATCAATACATTTATCTGGATCATCAAATGTTAATAAATTACCTCTAACTAGTTGTCGTATAAGTGCTTCTGTATCTTGATTATCTTTGTTCTTTTCAATAGTACTATCTAACCAAATGATAACGAAGTCGTTGTTTAAATTATTGATATTTGTATTTGCCATGTTTTTTGCGTGCATGTGACTACAAAAATAAATTTACAGACGTTTATTCACCTTTTTATTAATTACGCATTTGTTGTTCTTCTCTTCCTTTTTCGTTTTCTTTTAAGCAAAACAGCAGGAAATAAATTGTATATTCTCGTAAGGATTGGTTTTTTCGTATGAATAGAAATTTGCGGATGAGAATATGAGGGTTATTCTCTACAGATTATATGATTCTCTTTCATGGTTTTATTCCAACGTTGTCTATCGTCAGTAAATGTTTTTCTTCTCTTCCTTGGAAATTTTCAAATCTACGTGTACTGATTTGTTTGTATGCAACTGTTGTTTTTTATGATGTATGGGGGTGATAAGCGATTTTAGTTTGATAAAAATAATTCAAATTTATATATGACACAATTGATGCATTTTCATTCTTATTCAACCTCTCGATAATTAAAAAATATACAGATATATTTATCATACGTAAAACACTCAAAAAGTTTTCGAACTTCGTAATTTGTTTTATATAAAAGTAAAAGAAAGAAGAACTGCTATATCGTTATTGATGTGTTCGCATAGTTTACACAATTTTCTACATATAGATATTATCAGCTATGGTCTATTTAACATATATATGTGAGAATATAATAACACTTTTTCGAACACCTTATATTTACTGAAGGACCATTTATCATTGAATATCTTTTAATGTAAAATAAAAGGTTTCTAATGACAATACTCCATCATGCGCTTTATAGTTTTTCAGAATCAGTTCATCAAGTTAAAGTCGTCAAAATAACCGTTGACGATATTTCTAGATGTGAATGACATGATGTAGAATCAATTTCAACGAATACAGTAAAACTTCTCTTACAAGAAAACTCTCTGACCTTTCCAGTGTGGAAGTTAAAACTGATCGAAATATAACTATCAATCGTCCCATGTGATAACTACCGGTAGTTTTTTTGGAACTGTTGTATCATGGTGTATTGTATTAAAACGAGTGAATATTTTTGAAATTGAATCAATTTCAATGAATTCCATTCATGTTGATGCGTCTAAGTTGCCTATACTAGCCATAGAGTCCATATTCGCTTCAATTATGAGATAAGTTTTTATTAGTAATAGAATCGAAATTTGTAAGCACTATGGTTGGTATGCCATCGGTTTTTATAAGGACTACGATATATCAGTCGTAGTGCGAACAAGCATGTGACACAGGTAGCTATAACTATTAACTAGATCGTACCAATCCTGACGTCATCTCTCGTTCATCTGCCTTTCCACTTTTCTTTTTCTTCTTTATCCAATCTCTCTCTCTTATGAAAGCGTATGTTTTATGTGAAGTAACTAAATAAACATCATTACCGAAGGTGATGGTAAGTTACTCTTTCAGTTGGTTGCTACATGCAGTTATAACTATCAACCATTTAAAGTTGATTAACTTTGTGATTTGATGAGTAGATTTAAGTAATTTGAAATAGTATTTATTTTGATTTAATTGATATATTTGATAGAATAAATTAAAATATATGTACTTACTTCATTGTTCTTTGCTTTGAAAACTTAGTATTTATAAATTGTTCTTTGAGTGTTCTTTTTATGTATTCATCTGCAAGTTACATTTTCTCATATTTATATGTCGACCGTGAATGCACATGTAACACGATATATTTTTCGTTGTATGACTAATAATGATTTTTTAAATGTGACCAACTGAGAATAGTATGTAAAAACTGAAATTATTCTATTCTATTTCTTATTCTCTAAAATAATAATCATCTTCAATATATATTGTGAAGAAATAGGTAATACTGTAGATCAGTATAGTCACATATATATTATATTTAAACACAAAAAACTCTATCAGATTATTCTCTGTTAATTCTTTTATGTTCATCACTACTGTTATAAGCATGTATATTGTTCTGCTGTTTAGGGATGGTCGATTTCATTAGTCATTCAAAAATTTACTTAAACAATATTTAAAAAAACAAGCACTACTTCTCAAGCAAAAAAACTGATACATTTCAATCGAAGGATACATATGTATTAACTTACAATTACTTTTTTAATCATACTTGCAAAAATATATAAAAAAAAAACAGCAATCATTATTAAAATTTGCTTCATCATCTTTTTATTCTTCAAACAGTATTATTTTTTGTTGTGATCCAATAACATCTTCTGATTTCTGTCATTTGTAATTCATTGCTGTACGCTGATCTTATATCCGTAATTTGAGACGGACGATTACAACTGAAAAAAATATTGATTTTGATTTTGTCTAGTGTTGTTCTTGTTATTATATCGACAAACGAGGAAAGAAAAATGAATGAATAAAGAAATCAAGATAGCAAGAATAAAAAGAAATACTTCTTACATTATTCAGAAGAAACAAGTGGATGATGATGCGTTGATGCTTAGTGTGAAGCGTATCTTATTTATATCAGAGATATGACTAATACTTTTAATTAGTCACAAATCTTGAGTCATGTTGAAAATTGTATTGATTAGTGACTATAACCAAACTGGTTCTCAATAGGGTTCAAAATAGAGAACGTCATAGGACGATTTTTTTCGTCCTGTCCTGCATTCTTCAGGACATTTTAACTCGGGCATTCTGTTTTGCAGAACTCAAGATCTTTGTGCGTCCGGTCCACAGGATGATATTTCTGTTGCTATTTTGACAAGACCATTAAACGTGCCTTTTTTTGAGATGCAATGTCAAATATTATAGATCCTCTATTGGTAAAAAAAAACCGTTTACAATATAATCATGTTAAAAAACTCTATCACATGTTTTTCAGCAGAAATGGAATGAAAAATAACAAAAAAAAAAATACTTGACATCCATAAAATAAACAAAATAAATATAAAGATACAGGATTCAAAACGTAAGCAATATAAATGAACGAACAACAAGAAAGGATACTTTTTCTTGAATTTCTCATAAGAACAAATTAATAATGTTGTCAAATTGACTTTGTGATAAACATATTTGTCTTGAAATTAAATGTTAATCCAGCTGATGAAGGAATTACTCGAAATGATAATATTAGCTTGCAGATCATGCATCCTAAAACACGAAACTAGAAAAAGAAAATCGAATATCTATGCCATATTTTGACTAAATGGACTGATATACTATTTTAAAGCAACACAACTGACTTCAACAAAGAATTGTAATATTTTACTGACTATGAAGAAAAAACAATATATTTATTCGCTTAGCCAAGAATAAACGACATCGAATTTTTTCTATTAATTCTCTTCATTAGTATCCTTTGATCTATTATTTATTTTATAGATGCTTGTCTTGTTATTTAGTATACACTGAAAGTTTGAGCTGTACACAGCAAGAAATTTGTTGAGAAAACTGCAATGTTGGTTTTTCATAACTTGTGGGAAGTTACAGTTCTATGTTGAGGTCGGTTGTAATACTTCAAGACAGTATTTGACAATACTTCACTTATGAATATCATCTATGAACATTTCTCTATTAATAGTAAAAAATATCAGGCCATTTAGTCAATAAATGGCGAGAGATATTTGCTTTTCTTTTTCTTTTTCTGTAACTTACTAGATATCCTTATATATTAAAAAATCTTTGTTTATAAAAATTGAAGAATACGAAAATTTCTTTTGAAATAAATTAAAAATTAAACATTGACAATATTCATCTCATATATTGATAAGTGTACAATAGATGACATTAATTGATTTAATTGTGACAATTACATGTGTTTTTTTTTCTTGCGGTTGATTTAACTGTATATAAGAAGAAGGTGAACATTTTAAATTGAAATATTTTACAGAAAAGTCATATAATATACATCCTTAAAATATAGTCATCATAGTCAATAGAATCGAAATTTAGAATAATTAGATAAATTTTTAAACCATCCATGGATAGTGTGAAGTCTGTTCATTATCCTGACAGCACAGTTGTTGTTGTTGTCGTCCTTGTTGTAGTTGCTGTTGTCGTTGATGTCGTCGTTGATGCCGTACTTGTACTAGTATTCGTTGATTGCAAACTACTTACTATGACTAAAGTTAAATCTTGACTACTATTATTTAATCCAATACCCAAGCCCAATCCTACTGCTAAACCTACTACAATTATACTCATACCGACACAGACAATTATTACCAATGATAATGGTTGCCAAGGACTCCATGGCTTTGTCAAATCACTAGATTGATATTGCATCATGACCAAAAATAAATAAATGATCACGAATAGTCAAATATTTCGAATTGATAACTTTCACTACTTCACCGTACTACCAATGTATTGTGTCACAAAATAAAGTTATTTTTTTTCGTAGTAAAAAGAAAGAAAATGATAGTTCATTGATACACTTATTATAGGTAGAAATTAGAAAATGAAAACACATGCCTATAGTTATAAATAGGTGCTTCACATATTGTCAAGATTGTTTTCAATATTAATTGACAAATATTTTCATGCTTCACTTATTCGAGACTTCTTATTTTCCTTTAACTTTTATTTCTCGTGAACATAAAACAAATACTGTAGCACAATCGAAAAAACCATTAAATCAAAATCTGCATTAAATTCATAAATATAGTTTCAATTGTCTTATGTCAATGATATTAACACGATCAATCAAAATATTTTCGACTATATTACAAATTGTATTTGTATAGGACTATGGAAATATATAACCATTATACTGAGCTATATACATCGTCAAGGTTATAGTCATACATGATTTAATAGAGTTGTTTACGAACGTCTACAAACCTTGTATTAATCATTATGGCCATGTGTCACAATTACTATTTTATTTCCGAGGCATCAAACGAAGTAAATAAAATATTTACTGACGATTTTAAAATACCAAAAAAAAAAGACTAACAACAATCAGTAACTTTTATAGATTCAGATGTGTTTTTAAAAAGAAAAAACACGAAGAAAATCGTCGAATATTGTCGTGCCTGTCGCTGTCTTTGACGAAGCGAGACATTGTAATATTTCGACTCATGAATCTCTGATTATTGAGTATCATTGTATTATACCAAGAACGAAAAGATAAAATATTTCAGCATTAATCAATGGATTCGGTTCGTTATTTTTTAATTATTCTATTTCAAGTCGTCGCTCTTTTCATTTGAAATACTTTATCTGATAAAATTAGGTTATTTAGTAATTTCATAACAAGAAAAAAAATTTCGAAGATTTTAATTTTATGTTTCTATAAAAACCAAAGACAACACAGACATCGAAAACGTTTTGCACATTTTGACAGCAACAAAAAAAAGAAATGTTTTGAATAGTGAAGTTTCTGATTTTTTCACAGATAAAAATTTATATTTAAGATGTCAAGGGTGATCGGTAGTCATGTATGGATTTACTACACTCGTTATACGATCAGCACAAAAACAATGAACTGATCAGGTGATAACCTTAGGAAATGATCAATATCAATGTTTCTGATCTTATTCAAATATATAATAGTGTATTGAAACCTGCTGTAGATATAATGAATATGTACAATAGACTTATTTGCCGATTAAATCAATAGTTAGAATGACATTGATGTTAAATTAATGAATATGAAAAAGAAAAAGTTTCTATTCGAAATAAAGATCGTTTTTCGGATGATCGATGATCCTTGAAAAACAACAATACTCTGCGAGAGATTTTTCACTTTATGTATTTCGTATGAATATAATGAGGTTAGAGAACATATGTGAGTTCCATATTCTAGTCCCAAGGAGTTACGCTAACAAACTTTCTCTTATTGTTTTTAGTGTTTGTACTCCTGTGACTCTCTTTAAAAGGAGCAAAGATACGAATGTCATAATAGCTTCATTAGCAGTAAAGTAAAACGTAATAAATTTAATTTCTCATACATCTCTCTTAAAGATCGAATAATAAACGATCAAATAAATAAACCTAAATGATCATGATCAGAACAGCTAGTACTTAGGTCTAACTAGAAGTTCTGGCAACCTTGTTGACAATTGTATAAACTAATTAACATTTAAGAATCTGTTGTATGGATAAATAGTAGAATGGCTTGTCTATAATAATATACATAATAAATCTAATTTAGATTTAGTTCTACTATTCTTTCAGATAAAATCCAATTTCAACAAGAAAAACTTTAAAAAATCGATAATCAACGGGATCTAACGCTGCATCATATCGAACTATTGTAAAGTGGGCAAAAATGTTTTCATGAAGGAAGAGAAGATGTCAACAATGACTGTCGATCTGGTTGTCCAATTTTCAAGCTGATAGATATAAATATTGAACTGGTACGACAGATTATTAACAATGATTCACATTCACCTTATAATGATATTATCGCTGAGATTTCTCCCTCACTCTTCCAGTACAATAGAACGAATTAGCGACAATTGTCTAAAGATGAGAAAAGTTACATGATGTTGGGCGCTTCATTAATTCGATAATGAACAAAAGTAAGAATGAGTTAGAATTTGTTGTAAAATTTTGACGAAATTTTCTGATGGATCATGGCAATTATGTACTATTATTACAGATGATTAGACATCGATTTATCATAGACAGGTTAGACGCAAGTTGAGTAATAGAAGGTAGATAAGTGAAGGTGAATCACTAACGAATATTGTTCGTCGAAGTAGATTTGAACTCAAGACTTTGTTTTCTATATTTTTTAAATCCAATAATCATGTTCTTATACTTAGTTTAGATATAAGCAAATCCAACATGTTCATTAATATGAGATATTACGATTACCAGTCGATATTGAATATTTATAAATAATGACTCTCATCTTGGCACTATCGTTTACATTGATACATGTTTTATTTAGATATTTAAATTTGATTTGAAGAAAATTATCTAAGCATAAACGATTGTGATTTATAAACAAAACCATGTTAGATAAATTGCTTTTAAAGTAAAACTTCTTTTTTATTGAATGAATTATTAGTCTGACTCTGACTATCTGGAAGTGTATTAGTAATTTCTAATATGTAGGAAGTATCAAATCTATTCTTGTTTATCTTGTTTTTGTATTCGTAAATTTTATTTTAAGGTCATCAGAATAAGTGAGAGAACAATTCGAAAAAAAATTTCATCAGTAAATTTATGATTGACGCAATTTTTTTGTCATGTCAGTGATATATGTATTTAGTTTGAAAATCCTATCAATATCATCCCGTGGATAATCGTCCATAATTTGTAATGCTAATTGAAATTGTCCCAAAGCAAGTTGAAATTGTTTTTGTTTATCATAAATACGACCAATATTTGTATAATAATCAACTAAATCCAAATGATCAGGTGGTAAACTTTTCTTCCCAATTTCTAATGCTTTTTTAAAATATTCAAATGCTTTTACATTATTGTTCATATTTTCATGTACAATACCTATATCATTCAATGTTGAAGCTATCGAAGAATGAATCGGTGGTAATCGCTGCTCTTTATCCTTTAAAACTTTTTCAAGACTTTTCAAAGCATTTGTATTATCACCATATTCTGTTTGAATTTTTGCTTTGAGACCTTCTACTTGAGCTCTAAGTAATGAATCCTGTATTTGTGGCGATTTAGATAATTTTTCTTCAGCTTGTATTTGTTGTTCTTCTGCACTTCGACTATCTCCTAATGTCAAATAAACCAAACCAAGATTATAATGAGTAGCAATAATTTGTGAACTATTGTGATAATTCAATTGAGTATAAATATCAAGGGCTTTCTGATAACATTCAACAGATTCTTCTAGACGATGAGTAGCCTTATAGAGGAGACCAAGTAAGTTATAAGCATTTCCAATTGCTTTATCATCCGATGGAAGTTTTGAAAGTATCAATTTCATATAACGTTCAGCTTCCTCAAATTTATTCATTCGAAAAAGAAACCAAGCAAATAATAATGGATCTGGTTCCGAACTAATTTGGTTCATCATATATTTCGAAAGATTTTGACTAATTTCATTTTGTTCTTTACTTAATTGTAAATGAACATGCCACATATTACTATGTTGTTCAACTGATTGAACTTTAAAAATAGCACCTATTGTAAAAAGTACTTCTTGTTCGTCATCTTGACCTTGGCAACACGAAGAATTTCTAAGAATTGCAAATGGTGTCATTTCTTTATTCATATTATAAATGTCAATTTTAAAAAGAACAGATTGTAATGGTGATGGTTCATTCAATTGATCACTTGTATCTGCAAAAATTTTCGCTACTGCTTGATCCATCGTAGTACTTAAAAAACTATTCATTGAAATAAGTCCATTTACGCTACGTTTAAGTAGATCAAGTTCTATCATATTTAAACGTTGACCACGATAGACTGTTAAATGATGATGATCAATAATAGAAGAATGTTCGTCTAAATATTGATAATAAAGTTGTTCGATTTGATTATGAAGATCATTGATAAAAAATCGAAATTTAAATATAATTTCAGTATTTTGTGTTCGTAAAGCTCTGTTCAATAATCGATATACAAAACTATCATATGTATACCACCAAAATGCTCTTGTTGGAAAATAGTATTGTTCAAAATAATTTATTTTCATTTGTTCATTTGTATTATTATAATAACTTGCTCGAGATTCAGCAATCATTTCATCTTTTGAATTACCATATTTTGCCATTAATCGAAGAACAATTAATATTAATCTATACCACATAAATGTTACACTTTCTTGAGTTAACTGTTGTAACGTATTTTCTCGTTCTGTAAGATGAAATACACTCATGGGTAAATCTCCATCTTTATCACATAAATTAATATCATTACAAATTTTACGTGATAACGGTTGTTTTTTTGTGAATATACCAGAAATTTTTGAATATGGCTTAGCCCATGCTTCAGCTTTTTTTAGATCACCACAATATATATATATCGTTTGTATATGCGGTGATTCATGTATAAGTGGTATAATATGAGGACCAAATGCATTTGAAATAATAAGAAATACTCGTTTTGTTGGTGGTTGATCAGTTATATCATCAATACATTTATCTGGATCATCAAATGTTAATAAATTACCTCTAACTAGTTGTCGTATAAGTGCTTTTGTATTTTGACCATCTTTATTCTTTTCAATAGCACTATCTAACCAAACGATAACAAAGTCGTTGTTTAAATTGTTAATGTTTTCACTTGCCATGTTTTTGCATACATGTGACTACAAAAATAAAGCTATTTTACCTTTTCGTATATTATTCATTTGCCTTTTTTCTTTCTCTTCTTTCTTTTATATTATCGTTTGTTTTCTTATAGAAAAGACGACAAAAATAGACTGCATTTTTGTAAGGGTTGTCGTATGTGGGTGGTGTCTCTGTGTGTGTTATTCTCTTTCCTTCGTGCAACTCTTTCTCATGGTTTATTCCAATTCTGGGTGAATTTTTTCTTTGATGTTGTTCTTCTTCCGTTTGTTTTTTCTTTCCAATTTTGACGTGTTTTTGCTCATCATCAGTAGACTTTTTCTCTACTTCTTCTTGATAATTTTCAAATCTAAATATCCTTATTCATCAATATGCAGCTGTTATTTTTATAATGTATGGGATGACAAGCGAGTTTAGTATGACAAACATAAAATTTCTTTGTTTTAAACTTCATAAAGAACTTACATGCAAACGAAAATATATTTCCATATATAATAGTTCTAATTGATATATGACGCAATTGATATATTTTCATTCTTATTTAACCTCTTTATAATGAAACAATACAAAGATATATGTCTGTGTGTGAATGTAATAACACTTTCTCGAACACCTTATATTCATTGATTGAAGATGAAAAAAGTTTTGTGTGCTAAAAGGACAGTTGTCATTTGAACATCTTTTAATATAGAGTAGCAGTTTTCTAATGGTAGTACGCCATAATGAGCTCATCGAGTTAAAGGTGATCAACTCACTGTTGATTGGTAGATCGAAATATTTTTATTTTGAAAACATTTCAGCGCGTAACTAGACGCAAATAATAAATTCATTAAATATGAAGTCTGTATTAAAACAATGTATCTTCATCGGAAAGCAAACAAAATATTTATACCTAAAAGTTACTGTTGACTTCAAATTTGCATGCCTGGTTAACTTGTCAACGTTAAGAAATATAGCCTAAAAATTTAAGATTATCATACAGCTGCGTTATTGAATTATTTGAATTTTACAAGAGATCAAAATATTAAGAAAATGATTTCGCTTCGAAA